GTGAGTCAGAACCTGAGCAGAACCCTTAGGTCCAGGGTTCTGTCATAAACCCAGGCAGGAAAGTTGCCCTGGTTCAGTTTCTGGACTGTTCACTGGGTTCTAATGAGTTCTGCAGAACTGAACCGGGTCAGAACCAGAACTGATTAGGTTCTCAGTAAATGTTCTGCTCAGGAATTCTAATTTAAACTAATTTAAACCTTTGATGATGCGGTTCTGATAGGTTCTAAGGAAATGATAATTGTTCTGGTTCTGAACTTGGGTCCAGATTAAGGAGGAGAGTTTGGACCTGAAGCCACAGAACTACAGGCCAGAACCAGGCAGAACCTGATGTATTTATGCCTCAGAACCGAACCCGACCCGGTCCTCATGGACAGTGCAGACTGGGTTCTGGATCCAGCCTGTTGGACGGGTCAGGAGTTCTGATGGAGTTCTGCAGCATCACAGGAACAGCTCCATCCAAACTTAGCTAATTGATCCCAGTCTGTGAGGCGTTCAGGGAGCTGGGAATCTGCAGCTCTGTGCTCCCAGGGAACCCTCAGGTGTTCAGGTCATCCAGCCAATCAGAGAGCAGAGTCCTCTGATGTCATCCTTTGATCCTCTGAGTCAGCAGGAGATGGAAGAGGCACTGAGGCCCGGTTCGACGTCGGACCGGGTCACATGTTGGTCCGGCTGAGAGGAAGAGGAGGGAAGGAGATGAAGGACAGGAGAGAGTAGAAGAAGAAAAAAGGAAAGTAGAAACCAAAATGAATTAGATTCTCTGTCAGTTCTGCTGCAACCTGAGAGACAAAACTGTAGCGGATCGGTGCCGACCTTACCAGAACTTTCAGAACCTCAACCTGCAGCAGGAAGCGGGTCACCCTGAAACTTTCCCTGCTGGTTCCTGTCAGGCTGAAAACAGCCCCCTGCAGCCTGACAGACAAAGCTCAGGGCTCAGCCTCCCTCAGCCTCCTGCCAAGATGGAGGGAGGAGGTGTGATGATGGAGAGGAGGCGTCTGGATGAGCTGCAGGAACCTGCTGAGCCAGCCCAGCCCCTCTGATGAAGCTCAGACAGCAGAAGCATTCTCCTTCCTCCCTCCAGGGGTCTGTCCTGCAGCAGATGGTGTGTCCTCTGCAGGCTCCTGTAGTTACAGTCAGGGTGACCTCAGAGGGTCAGAGGGAGAGTGGAGGAGCAGCAGCTGCTGCAGGACAGAATCACTGCAGCCCTCAGGGGGCTGGTTCTGACTCGGTTCTGCTGTCAGCCTGCAGCCACGATCGGACCTCTGATAACATCTAATACCGGACCAGAACTGGTTCAGAACTGCAGGAAACACCTTAAATCAACAGCTAAGGGACAAAAAGGACAGAAATCAACATCATCATCCATCTCTTAATGTCAGGGATGGATGATGAATAATGTTCTGTTATCCACTGACTGGTTGGAGCAGAGGTCACATGAATGAGGCTGGTCCAGAGCTCTGGTCCAGTGCTCTGGTCCAGTGTTCTGGTCCAGTGCTCTGGTCCAGTGTTCTGTTCCAGTGTTCTGTTCCAGTGTTCTGGTCCAGAGCTCTTGTCCAGTGTTCTGGTCCAGTGTTCTGTTCCAGTATTCTGGTCCAGTGCTCTGTTCCAGTGTTCTGGTCCAGTGTTCTGTTCCAGTGTTCTGGTCCAGTGTTCTGGTCCAGTGCTCTGTTCCAGTGTTCTGGTCCAGTATTCTGGTCCAGTGCTCTGTTCCAGTGTTCTGGTCCAGTATTCTGGTCCAGTGTTCTGTTCCAGTGTTCTGGTCCAGTGTTCTGTTCCAGTGTTCTGGTCCAGAGCTCTGGTCCAGTGCTCTGGTCCAGTGTTCTGGTCCAGAGCTCTGTTCCAGTGTTCTGGTCCAGTGTTCTGTTCCAGTATTCTGGTCCAGTGCTCTGTTCCAGTGTTCTGGTCCAGTATTCTGGTCCAGTGCTCTGTTCCAGTGTTCTGGTCCAGTATTCTGGTCCAGTGTTCTGTTCCAGTGTTCTGGTCCAGTGCTCTGTTCCAGTGTTCTGGTCCAGTCCTCTGTTCCAGTGTTCTGGTCCAGTGTTCTGGTCCAGTATTCTGGTCCAGTCCTCTGTTCCAGTGTTCTGGTCCAGTGTTCTGGTCCAGTATTCTGGTCCACTGCTCTGTTCCAGTGTTCTGGTCCAGTGTTCTGGTCCAGTATTCTGGTCCAGTGCTCTGTTCCAGTGTTCTGTTCCAGTGTTCTGGTCCAGAGCTCTGGTCCAGTGCTCTGTTCCAGTGTTCTGGTCCAGTGTTCTGGTCCAGTATTCTGGTCCAGTGCTCTGTTCCAGTGTTCTGGTCCAGTGCTCTGTTCCAGTGTTCTGGTCCAGTGTTCTGGTCCAGTATTCTGGTCCAGTGCTCTGTTCCAGTGTTCTGGTCCAGTGCTCTGGTCCAGTATTCTGGTCCAGTGTTCTGGTCCAGAGCTCTGGTCCAGTGTTCTGGTCCAGTGTTCTGGTCCAGTATTCTGGTCCAGTGCTCTGTTCCAGTGTTCTGGTCCAGTGCTCTGTTCCAGTGTTCTGGTCCAGTGTTCTGGTCCAGTGTTCTGTTCCAGTGTTCTGGTCCAGTGTTCTGGTCCAGTATTCTGGTCCAGAGCTCTGGTCCAGTGCTCTGTTCCAGTGTTCTGGTCCAGTGTTCTGGTCCAGTATTCTGGTCCAGTGCTCTGTTCCAGTATTCTGGTCCAGTGCTCTGTTCCAGTGTTCTGGTCCAGTGCTCTGTTCCAGTGTTCTGGTCCAGTGTTCTGGTCCAGTATTCTGGTCCAGTGCTCTGTTCCAGTGTTCTGGTCCAGTGTTCTGGTCCAGTATTCTGGTCCAGTGCTCTGTTCCAGTGTTCTGGTCCAGTGCTCTGTTCCAGTGTTCTGGTCCAGTGTTCTGGTCCAGTATTCTGGTCCAGTGCTCTGTTCCAGTGTTCTGGTCCAGTGCTCTGGTCCAGTATTCTGGTCCAGTGTTCTGGTCCAGAGCTCTGGTCCAGTGTTCTGGTCCAGTGTTCTGGTCCAGTATTCTGGTCCAGTGCTCTGGTCCAGTATTCTGGTCCAGTGCTCTGTTCCAGTGTTCTGGTCCAGTGCTCTGTTCCAGTGTTCTGGTCCAGTGTTCTGGTCCAGTGTTCTGTTCCAGTGTTCTGGTCCAGTGTTCTGGTCCAGTATTCTGGTCCAGTGCTCTGTTCCAGTGTTCTGGTCCAGTGCTCTGTTCCAGTGTTCTGGTCCAGTGTTCTGGTCCAGTATTCTGGTCCAGTGCTCTGTTCCAGTGTTCTGGTCCAGTATTCTGTTCCAGTGTTCTGGTCCAGTATTCTGGTCCAGTGTTCTGGTCCAGTTGTCTGAGCCAGTGTTTTGATTGATTGATTGATTGATTGATTGATTGATTGATTGATTGATTGATTGATTGATTGACTTCATTGATCTCACAGTGGAGAAATTTCGTAACTCGTACCATCAGCTCAGATAGTCATAAAGAGAGGAAGGTGCCAAAGAAAGAAAAGGTGCAGAGGATATTTACAGTTTATACAGTTCATCCACATAAGACAGCTACAGGGTTATTATTATTATACAGGGTTATTATTATTATACAGGGTTATTATTATTATTATACAGGGTTATTATTATTATACAGGGTTATTATTATTATACAGGGTTATTATTATTATTATACAGGGTTATTATTATTATACAGGGTTATTATTATTATTATACAGGGTTATTATTATTATACAGGGTTATTATTATTATTATACAGGGTTATTATTATTATACAGGGTTATTATTATTATACAGGGTTATTATTATTATTATACAGGGTTATTATTATTATACAGGGTTATTATTATTATACAGGGTTATTATTATTATACAGGGTTATTATTATTATTATACAGGGTTATTATTATTATACAGGGTTATTATTATTATACAGGGTTATTATTATTATTATACAGGGTTATTATTATTATACAGGGTTATTATTATTATACAGGGTTATTATTATTATACAGGGTTATTATTATTATACAGGGTTATTATTATTATTATACACGGTTATTATTATTATACACGGTTATTATTATTATACAGGGTTATTATTATTATACAGGGTTATTATTATTATTATACAGGGTTATTATTATTATACAGGGTTATTATTATTATTATACAGGGTTATTATTATTATACAGGGTTATTATTATTATACAGGGTTATTATTATTATTATACAGGGTTATTATTATTATACACGGTTATTATTATTATACAGGGTTATTATTATTATACAGGGTTATTATTATTATTATACAGGGTTATTATTATTATACAGGGTTATTATTATTATACAGGGTTATTATTATTATTATACAGGGTTATTATTATTATACAGGGTTATTATTATTATACAGGGTTATTATTATTATTATACAGGGTTATTATTATTATACAGGGTTATTATTATTATACAGGGTTATTATTATTATACAGGGTTATTATTATTATACAGGGTTATTGCAAAGGGTGTTTATTGGGTATATATGTTTAGATGGACATATATATTTATCTATATAGTTATTGCACTGGGTCTCAAATGATAGACTGCACATTATACTTAGCATTTGCATTTATTGCGTTTGTAGCGTCTCATTGTAGAATCTGGTAGCAGCAGGATGAATGACCTGCAGTAGCTCCTCTATCCTAACAGGCTGTAAAAGTCTCTGACTAAAGGAGCAGCTCAGCTCCTCTCCAGTCTGCTGCAGAGGGTGGAAGGTGGCGTCCATTATGGATGGAAGCTTGAGAAGCACCGTCCTCTCAGCCACTGAGTCCAGATCTACTATCATTAGAACCCGTATTACTGCAGTACTATAGTAGCTGTACTATCTATAGTACCCGTATTACTGCAGTACTATAGTAGCTGTACCATCTATAGTACCCGTATTACTGCAGTACTATAGTAGCTGTACTATCTATAGTACCCGTATTACTGCAGTACTATAGTAGCTGTACTATCTATAGTACCCGTATTACTGCAGTACTAT